CGCCCTTTTCCGCTGGCCATGTAGCATTTCTATTCATTTGTCTCCCACAGGTCTGTCACTGCGGAAATTTCTAGCCCAAACAGGGTCCAAAGAGACCTTCTACAAACCAAACCTCCTAAGAAGCAAAGTTCCAACAGTCGAGCGTGAGACACGAACGCACAGTTCCTGGCACTTTCCGAAAGCACCCTGGCAAATCCTCACAGCACAAAGCACCCTTTTCGCAGGCACTGGTGTCGTTACTCAAACACACACAAAGGGCCAACAAGGACCACGTGAGATGGCTTCTCTTCACATTCTTGAGCCAGACGTTCTGCAAGAACATCCAACATTCAAACTTCCTCTTTTCAAATCTTCACACTCTAAAAACAGGTAGAGAACACCATCGGTGATCACTACCCCCCTCAGACGGAACGGTCCACATGAGATCACCTCAAATGGGATCGTGGCCGAACCATGATGTCATCATTGAGAGGTAGTGAGCACCACGAGGCTAACCACCTGTTCGAGCGATCCGATCGATAGAGGACGACAAAAACACACCTCACTGCTTCGAAACAATCTCAGTTGTTTCTGACCCTTTTGGTTTCCTTAAACAGTTCCAGTTCCCAGTCGACACTTGGTTCCACCAAGTGTTTGCGCCTCAAATAAACAAGTCAAAATTGGTAAACCTTCTCTACAAGTCAACATTGGTAACCTTCTCTCAGGTGAAAACTCCATTCCCGCCAATCCGAGGAGGATGAGCCACAAAAGTTCTTCAAACGTTCACGCTTGGTTCCACCAAGCACTTGCACTTCAAATACTCAAATAAATACTTCCTTCCACGAAAAAATTCAGCTGCTTCAAAGGACAATTCTCGCGAAGTTCTTCAAATGGTTCAAATTCTTCAAAGGACACTTCGCTCTGATTCTTCAAATGATTCAAAGGGTACTTCGAGCTAAGAAAGCTCGAAGTTCTTCAAACACTTCAAAGAACATGCGCTCTCCTGAGGGAGGAATTCGTCGGGGTGAAATGTTTCTTAGAGACACCCAGCACCCGCAAGCAAGGCGCCCTACGCACAGAAGACTCGCGCAGGCACCTCCTCATGCGCTGAACCTGCGTCAACGCCTACCCTGCACAATGCAATCCAAGCACGGCTGATACACCTTTCCCTGATTCGGCCTGCTCCTGACATGCTTACACGTCACCTTGTGGTAAGCATATCCATTTTGAAACACCTTCAGATTCTCACCTCCTGAACCTGAACACTCCGTGCTCGCCAGCGTTTGGCTCTCCTTTTTCCAACTTTTTACGATCACCTCTCACCTCAAACACATTTAGGTAGCAAGATACCCAACCCAAAGCAAAAGTTCCCCCGATCATCATCTCAAAAAGATGCTCTTCGACAAACTCCATTACTATCCAGCTCTTTGAGATAGATAGGCTACAAATCTTTCCCCCTTTCAGACTGAAAGGAAAACTGCAAATTAACAGCTACACATCTTAAATGCTACTGCATTCTTTCTGTCCAAAATTGCACAAGACAAGCAACTGCATTCTTTCTGTTTCCAAGAAAACGTTTGTTTCACAAGACATCCACACGTTTCACAAGACATGCAACTGCATCCTATATCTCACGTCTTATCTATCTACCGCGCCGGCAAACGCAATCCAAACCAACTAGTCCGGGTCTAGAACGCGACCTGACACCGAAGTACTTGCACAGTGGCTTCGATAGCGACCCTAACTTAGTTAGCCCGCGTCTAGAAAGCATCCTGACACCGAGGTACCTACCTGCACAGTGGCCTCGATAGCGACCCTAGAAGCTTCTTCCTATGCTCAAGTGCACAGTCTTCAAAAACAAGTCTCGTTTCCAGTATCAAGTGAAACTTCATAAGGCTGAGCCCACACAAAAACGCAACTGGGTGTGAATACGTGTATGGTGATACTGCACTCAGGAACATGCGCGAGCATGTTGTGTCATCATCGTGCCTCCATAGCCGCTCTACACACACCGTTCAACACACGCGCCAGCTTGTCATTGTAAAACGCAGTACTTGACCAATCAACTTGGCCAAACGTCGCATGCTCTGCGCACTCACACGCCTGGTACTTTCGCAGTGGTCGACAAAAGGCTTCGCTGTCCGACACAAACCTCAGGCGCTTACCAACGAGCGCCTGTGGATTCCTCTCACTAGCTACACCCATTCGACACAAACGTACAACAGCTTCTTTCGTAAGTCCAAGATCTACCAACAACTCCTTAATGCCTACAAAGCCCCAAAGAGCGTTCACTGAAGGGACATGCTAGTAGATAGCTGTCTGTGCTGCTTCAGCTTACCTAGGATTGGCTCTAGCTCTCCAAACCTGATGTCGCCTTCATCGTTCACGCCTGACAAAAACCAGATAGGTGAACCTGATGTGCATGGACACGACACGTGTGTATGTACATGCACGCTCATTCCTTCTCTTCTAGCTGCTGCACTTGCACGCTGCGCCAAATCACACAAGTTGTCCACCGTCAGTTGCTCTTCCGCTTTCGAAGAAATGCCAAAGTAGGCAAATGCACTGTTCTTTTTCTTCAATGCTGAATTCTCTTGACAGCAGAGTTCAATCAAAATCAAAGCCTTCTTTCCCGTCTTTGCCAAACCTTCAACTGCAGACACAGTGGCCAGCTGAGCTGGACCAACTTTCGTGAATCCAATCGCCTCTCTATGAGTAAAGTTGAGTAAAGTGATACGAAGAACACTTTGTGAGGATGTCACTGCACTCGCAACCCAAGAAATCGTAACCCACCGAGACATTTGATCTCTCAACCAATAGGTTCGAACCTCAGTGTGCCTACTTTTCCGAGGGACATCCAAACCTTCAAGAAGTTGTCTTCCGCTTTCTGAATCTTTCAAAAGGTGGATTGGGGATGACTTACCCTCAAACCGAACCCTTCAAAACCCCGAAAAATTCAATCACCAACTTTCGCACCATGGGCAACAGACTTACGCAGCTCTGATGTCGACTAAATCCCTTTATCAATGAGTTCAACACAAAGATGAAAGCACCACTGATGCCTTTCCTCTGAGTCAGTCTCTGCGAGTCACAGAAAACTGTGATCAACTTTTCTTTTCCAACTCTCTCCAGGTCCGCGCCCGGAAAACTCAATTCAAACTCGCCATCCAATAAGAGGAATCTCAAAAGTTGCTTTATCCCCCTCATACCTTTCATCAGGTGCATGTTGTCCAGTTGCAAGTAGCGAGATAAAGATGTGAAGATCCTCTCTGGTTGTGACATCCAGGCCAATTTGCCAAGGCATCTCCTGAATTTTGCATAACTCTCCACTGAAAGGGGTTTGTTTGGCTCTGCATCCAACGTTTCCCTCAAGTTTGGCACAGCCGCTTTCCCCGTCTTCAGTTTCGACAGTCCGTAATCCTCAAAACAGGAATCAAGGTATCCCGGAAGAACATTCACAGGGAGTTTGCTTGATCCTTCCACACGACGAATCACACGTCCGACAAACTTCAACTGTCCATCTTTCTACGGTTCCAAAACCCCCGTCAACTTCGTGGGCACATGTTTGTTGAAAAGTGCTTGCACCTTACTCCCTGTTTCCCGATCTTTCGAGATGATGATGATGTCATCAACATATATAACCATGATGATCCCTGCACCTGTGAAAACACAAGGGTCAGTTGGAGAAGAAACCAAATTCATGGGACCTTTAACAATTGATTGAGCAAACTGCAACCAATCAAGAGAAGCACTGCGAATCCCATTGAGGCTTTTCTTGAGAAGAAGATAAACCGGAGACCCAGAATCATCCCCCCAACTCACACTCAATGGCAACTTCGCAATGATCTTTCTCTTGGATTCATCCAATGGTGTATGCATGAAAGCAGCACTACAATCCAAAGTTGTGACATACGCGTTCGAAAAACCTGCAACAGCCAACGCTGTCTTGACTGCCTCAGAACTTGGAGTGGGAGAGCTGATTCCCAACTCTTTGGCTTTTGCATCATTGGCTCTCACACCCGGCTGACCTTCAATGGTCTTTGCGTTTGACACCCATCTACATTGTATGATTCGGACTCCATGTTGCTTTGCCAGCCTCTCTGCCTCACTCGGTTTCAATGGAGTACCGGCATCTACCCGGTTCATGTTTGCCACTTCCATCAACATTCCCCGAAAAGTCAAAATCCCCATCGAGGATCTCCGAAGTCGTGTCATCAATCCCATGGTCCGGTTTCCAAACCCTCAAAACCTTACCATCGAAAGTCACATCTTCAAACCCTGAAGACCCTCTAAAAACAACACTGTCCGCACGTCAAAGACAACATCTGGACTTGACCAAACCCTGTCCAAGCCGTTCAGAGAAAACACTTGACAACCATCGCCCGCGACTGAAACCATGTCCATGTCTTCTGTTTCTAACTGCCGTTTCCGAGATCCCCGAGAACCCTCAAGACCTTCCGCTTCGACAGTTTCTGGTTCCAGTGTCGTTTCAGCAGCTCGTTTCACTCCTTTAGATGAAGCCCCAACAGAATCACCAAGATCCATGTCCTGACCATCCTCAGGGGGAAGTGATGGGGTATACTCAAAACTTTCAGGGACCTCTTCAGGAACAAAGAAACCTCCAGCGCTCGGCAAAGGTGGCTCTGACACGCTTCGAGAACGAGACTCCCTCAACCACCGGGAAAACCTCGCACGACATCCACCAGAATGCCTCAAACCACTGGTACTTTGGCCAATTTCCAACGCCGAGCAAGCTGGACACTCAGAGGTG